CAGGCTGGCCATACCGTCCAGCAATCACACTCCTAAGTATTTATTCAAACGAGTTGAAGACTTACGTTCTCACACACACACACACGCACAACACTGTGCACGGACTTACAGCAGCTTTGTTCATTATTGCCAAAACTTGGAAGCAAGAAATATGTCCTTAAGTAGGTGCATGGTTAAAAAAAACTGCTATATCCACACAAGAGAATATTATTCAGTGATAAAAAGGAAATGAGCTATTAAGCCATGCAGAGATATGGAGGAACCTTAAATGCATATTACTAAATGAAAAGAGCTGGTCTGAAAAGACTGTTTACTATGTGATTTCAAATACATGTCATTCTAGAAAAGGCAAAACTATGGAGATAGAAAAAAAATCAATGGTTGCCGGAGTTTGTGAGGTTAGGGAGTATGGATAAATAGGTAGAGCACAGGGAATTTTTATGGCAGTGAAACTATTTTTTGTATAATGCTGCAGTAGTGGACATGACTGAACAATTAACACACACAGACAGTAGTCGATACATGACATTATGCATGTGATAGAACCATAAACCTGAGCAACACAAAGGATAGTGAAAACTGTGGACCTCAGTTAATAATAGTGTATCAATATGGGTTCATCAATTTTAACAGATTTCTATTAATAATGTTTAAAAATAGCTGCATGAGGAAATAACACTGAAAATCAAGAGAAGTAACAACCAATGTAAGCACACCCCCACGGGGATCCAGATAATGGAGTTACCAGACGTAGACTTTAAAGTACCATGTTGTGTATGCTCCAAAGTAAGTGCTTGAGAATTGCGCCAGAAAACTAGAAGACATTTTTTTGTTTTAAGTGGCAAGTTGAGAACTAAAAAACACTGAATTAACTTAATTATGAACTCTGTGGGTAGATTTAGCAGAAATCAATGAAGAGAAAATATACAATAGAGAGAATTTAACTTGACAAGGCTGATCAATCCGCAAAGATGGTGATAAAATAGATTCTCCCCAGACTCCTTATAGGTAGGTAAGTAAATAAACATGAATGGACAATATAATGGGCCCTGGTAGCTCAGGAGGTAAAGAATCTGCCTGCAGTGCAGGAGACCCGGGTTCAATCCCAATGAAAAGGGGGATATCACTATATATCTTATTGATATTAAAACAATATTATAAAAACAATTATGTTAATAATGCAGTTTAGGGTGAACAAATGCCTTGAACATCTCAATAAAACTAATACAAAAATTAGGAAATCTAAATAGTCCCGTATCTATAAGGGAAATGCAGTCCTTAATTTAAAACCTTCCATAGAGAAAATTTGATACTTGTATAATAAAATTATTACCACAGTAAATCTAGTTAATAGTTAACATCCATCACCATACATAGCTACAGAATTGTTTTTCTTGTGATGAGAACTTTTAAGATAAATCTCTTAGCAACTTTCAGATATGCAATGCAGTGTTATTAACTATAATCACCATGCTGTACATTACATCCATAGGACTTATTTATTTTTTAACTGAAAGTTTGTACCTTTTGATCTACTTTACCCACTTCACCCATCCCTCACTCCCTGCCTTTGTCAACTGCCCATCTGTTCTCTATGTCTTTGAGCTTATGTTATTTTAAAGATTCCACATATAAGTGAGATTATGTGGTAGTTTTTCTTTCTCAGTCTAGTTTATTATACTTAGCAAAATGTCCTCAAGATCCATCCATGTTGTTGCAAATGGCAAGATTTTCTTCTTTATTATGGCTGAATCATATTCTAATGTGTATCACATTTTCTTTATCCATTTATCCATTGATGGACACTTGCTTCCATGTCTTGGCTATTGTAAATAATGCTTTAGTGAACATGGGGTGCATATCCCTTTTCAAGTTAGTATTTTTGTTTTTCTCAGATAAATATCCAGAAGTGGAGTTACTGGTAGTTCTATTTTTAATTTTTTGAGGAATCTCCATACTATTTTCCATGTGTACGTGCTTAGTTGCTAAGTTGTGTCAGACTCTTTGAAACTCCATGCACTAGATAGCCCACCAGGCTCCTCTGTCCATGGAATTTTCCAGGCAAGAATACTGGAGCGGTTTGTGATTTCTTACTCCAGGAATCTTCCAACCCAGGGATCAAACTCGTGTCTCCTGTGCCTGCTGCATTAGCAAGCAGATTCTTTACCACTGAGCCACCTGGCAAGCCCACTGTTTTCCATAGTGGCTGCACAATCCCACCAACAGTGCAGGAGGGTTCCCTTTTTTCCACATTCTCACCAACAATTGTTTCTTGTCTTTTTGAGAATATCCATTCTAACAGTTGTCAGGTGATATCTCATTGTGGTTTTTACTTGCATTTCTGTGATGTTCAGTTCTTTCTTTACATAGATAACAAACAGAAAATAAAATATTTAAATCCCTTTACGTTAGCATAAGAAATACAAAATACTTAGAAACAAATCTAATGAAAGATATGCAAGTCTACACTGAAAATTGCAAATATTGCTAAGAAGAACTAAAGACCTAGCTAAAGGGAAACTATACCATGTTTGATTTGAAAGACTCAATATTATTAAGATGTCAGTTCTTCTCAAACTGACCTACCAACTGAATGCAATTCTAATAAAAATTTCAGTACTTTTCCTTGTGGAATTAGAAGTAGATTCTAAAAATTCATATGAAAGTACAAAGGACTAGAACAACCAAGGCAATCTTGAAGAACAACAGCAAAGCTGGAGGACTTAAAGGATGTGGGGTCAATTGGTTATCCTTAACCCAACCTAATTAGATAAAAATGAACCACAGACCCAAATATGAAGGTAAAAAAATAAAACTGCTAGAAAAAAGCTTGAGGAGAAAATCTTAAAATCTTGGGATAAGTAAATATTTCTGAAACAGGACATTAAAAAAAGAACTAATCCTAAGAGATATGATTGATAAATGACATAAAAGTGTCACTTTTTTTTTTTTTTTAATAAAATGACACTCTTAAGAGAAAAAATATTACCACACACTGGGAGGTCAATCTGCCACACATATATCTGACAAAGTATTCATATTCTGAATATGTAAAGAATTCCTACAAATAAACAGATTACTCAAAATATTTTCTTAAATAGGGAAAAGACTAGGACAAACATTTCATTAAAAAAGGATATCCAGATGGCCAGTATGCATAAAAAGATACTCACCCTCTTTAGATAACAGGAAAATGCAAATTAAAGGTATAGTGACATATTATTCCATTCCACCAGAGTAGCTAAAATTTTAAAAGACTGACCATACCAAGTGTTGGTAAGGATGTAGAGCAGTTTGAACTCTCATATATTGCTGGTGGGCATGTGATTAATGGGCTTTCCTGATGGCTCACACGGTAAAGAATCCACCTACAATGCAGGAGACCTGGGTTCAATCCCTGGGTTAGGAAGATCCCCTGGAGAACCCACTCCAGTATTCTTGTCTGGAAAATCCCATGGATAGAGGAGCCTGGTGGGCTGTAGTCCATGGGGTCACACAGTTGGACACGGCTAAGCATGCACACAAGATGTGATTAATAATTTGTTAGAACCACTTTAGAAAACTGCCAGTTTTACTAAAGTTAAAACATATGTATTCTGTATGACTCATTCCTGAATATGTACCCAAAGAGAAATGAGGACATATATCTACCAAAAGCATATTCAGCAGTGTTCATAAAAACTTTATTCATAGTAGCTTCAAGCTAGAAACAATTCAAATTGTTATCAAGAGGAGAATGGATAAAATATGAGGTATTTGTAAAATGGATAATGGCATAACAATAGAGAACTGTGATATGCAATAAACATGACTTAATCATAGAGATGAAATGTTGAACAACAAAAAATCAAGAGATGGAAGTATATACACTGTATGATTTTTTTGATGTGTGTGGGTGAATAAATAGAGTCCCGAATCACCTGTCAATACATTAATATATACTTGCGCTAATAAAGGACAGAAAAGTGGTTTTAGTGCCAGGGTAGGCAATGAGTGAACTCTGCCTGTAAGCAATACCATGAATAAATCTCCCAGTATTGAGTAAAAGAAAAAAGCCATCTGTAAAAGAATGTGCACTATGATTCTGTTTGCATGAAGTTCAAAAACAGGCAAAACTAAACTGCAGCTTTAGAAGTGGATTAGTTGGTTATGTTTTTGGAGGACAGGGAGGGTGGAGATTGAAAGGAGGGAAGGATAGGGGCCCTTCTGGTACGGCAGTGCTCTTGACCTGTGAGGTGACACCAGCGTTTGCTTTGTGGTTTTACATTCTGCTCTACATTTATATTCTGCTCATTCTTTAGTAAGCCTGTTATCCTTTAGTAAAGAGTTAGAAACCAAAAACTTGAAGATCTATAGCTACTGAGTGAGTGTCAACATTTATAGGTATTTTTCTGTTTAAAAAAAAAGGCAAACTTTTTATAAAATTAAAAAGGTATTACCTTTTTTCATTTACTTGTTTTGCATTATACATAGATTTTTCCATATTATTAAAAAAGTTTCCCTTTAGAAAGGCATGTTTTCAAACTGAGATGCATCCATAATCAGTCTTAGCTGTCTGATCCTTTAATTTACTACTTTGGTAGTGATTTATCAATTGCAAACTTGCTTTTAATTTTAAATTTATAGTTATTTTAAACCTACGATATCTTCTGGGAAAATGAAGAGCTCATGATTATCAGGTGACAGGCAAACTCATTAGTAAAATTTGACTCCTTCCCTTCTTAGAATTTTTATTTGCACAATTTCCTTATTGATGCTAATTTTCTGGTTTGGCATTTATAATAGTTCTGTTTGTTACATTGAGGGTATGAGCTAGATCTCTGCATTATTATCTTTGCAATTTTCAATAAGCATTGTATCCACTGATCTTTGCTCTGATTATTCACTGAAAATACTCATCTCTAAGTAAAATTTTTTTGGTGAGTAAAATATTCACTATATAGCTTTGTTCAAATAGGAGAGTATGTGTTACCATACTTGTTTCTTTTTTTTTTTTTTAGAGAAAATCTCTGCATGAAAACAAACTGAAGAGACTGCAGGAAAAGGTAGAAATCTTAGAGGCAAAGAGAGAAGAATTGGAAACAGAAAATCAGGTGTTAAATAGGTAATATGTTTGTATGTATATATGCCCCATGTGGTATTTTGATGTTATAGAACTTTGTTTCTGAGTATTTCTGCTTTTAAAATATAAATTTAAAACAATCCTAAACCTTTATTAGATTCCTCATTCATTATCTTTGCTATTTTTTTTGATTGAATGTTTCTTAAACCAAAAGGTCTTTAACATATGCATTTCTGTTTTGTATGGTTGAGATCGACAGAAAGGTCAATCCCTGGCTTTGGTAGCCAGGAGTGGTGTAAATCCTTGCTGCTGAGACAAGACAGTTTAGTGATTACAAACTCTAAATTGTGGCCACAACTTTGAATCAAGGCTCAGTTTTTGAATGTTTTAGTATGGAAAATATTATTGGGCAGTAGTTTCTGGTTCTTATTTATATCCAAGCACAACTAATAATCTGCATCATTAGCATTTTTGAGCAGAGATTTACCATTTTTATTTAGTAGTGGTGGCATTGTATGACCCATGTGATTTAAGTTAATAAAATCTTTTCAATTTCAGCTAATTAGTGGTGGTCTTTAGCATTTAGACAGTATCAGACTTTTCTGTAATGGAAGTTGCCTGTATGTCAAGCAGTGATGTTTTACAATGTGCACTAGTCTTCTTGGGTATAATTAGTACTAAAATGTGAACAGTTGTGTGTGGTTTTTTTTTTAGAACATCCAAGAGGTTTCCAGACTGTGCAATAAATGCCAGTTTTACAAATACTTTCTGTTCCAAAGTGAGAAGCCACCACTTTCATTCTAAAACAAAATTCAACTTATTATTTCAAAATTAATCGTTGTGGAGGAGGTGTTATCAATTCAGGAGTGGGCAGCTATGGCACAGATCACCTAGAACTTTAAATGGTTTTGAAACTATATTTGATTACTTGTGATTATTAGGAAATTAATGTCCAAAAAGGTGGTGATCTGTGAAGGCCTGAAAAGTTTTTTTTAATCCATGTCATTTTCCCTTAAGTTGGGTAGCTTTACCTTATTAGGAACATTAAAAAAAAAATAGGACAAAATAAATTGGCTATGTTTGACCATATTTCACCTACAAAATTCATAATATTCAACCTGGTATTTTCTCTATTTCTATTTGATTTCTGAAGTAAAATAAGGCACCCCCCTTTTTTTTTTGAGGAGTCCTTTTAGTTTGAAGATTCATGGGTTGGGGGAATAGAATTAAAGTAAAAATATCAATGTTTTTAATCTCTTAATTGTCAAATAAAACTTTAAGTTGACAGCCTACAGGGCCAACAATAACACATATAATTAAGATGTCATGTTTCTGTTTATCTTTCTAGATAAACTGAATTTTATGTATTATATATAGGTAAATCTTACAACTTAAAAATCCTCCCCTCCCAATTAAAATAATGTTCTGTGACTCATACTGCTCTTCAACAGAATATAACTGTATTAAGCAACAGAAATGCTTTTCCTTTTTAAGACAAAATGTTCCATTTGAAGAGTATACAAGGCTTCAAAAAAGACTAAAGGATATACAGAGAAGACATAATGAATTTCGAAGTTTAATTTTGGTTCCTAATATACCTCCATCAGCATCCATCAATCCTGTTAGTCTTCAGTCATCAACTGTGATTCCAGGCATGGAACTGTCCTTTCCTCCTCACATGCAGGTATGGGCATTTATTTTAGGAGAGAAAAGTTAGATAGATACTTCTGTAAGTTTTACCTGTTTAAATAGTTAAAAACCTAAATCTTTACCAGAAAAATTGCTGAGAGGCATAGTGGATTTGAATCTATCCTTCAATGATGATGCTAGGAGTAAAGTCTCCTACTGGGCACCTGAAAGGAAGAAACTGATAAAGTCTTTGAGTAAACTGTTGAGTTTGTAGGTCACTCATATAATTCTGATTATTACCAACATTTATGCAAATGTACTATGCACTTTCCATACAATATTTTATTTAATCCTAATGAAAAATGCTTTGAGGGAAGGTATTAGTATTCCTAGTTTGCAGATGAGGAAGCTGAGTCAGAGAGGTGAAGTGACTTGCTCAAGAGCTTCAAGAGCTGAGTTTCAAACCTAAATTTGTTTCCAAAACTTGAGTTAGTTTTACTTTATCAAATCCCTGAGATGTTGAGGGAACCAAATTGATCAGATGATTTTTCGAAGATGAACTGTTAATAAGCAATGACATTTTGTAATGTTGTAAGCAAGGAAGATTTTTAATGTTCTAAGTCACTGAATTGTATCTCTGATGAAGTGCTTTGTTTACATAATAAACTTCTGTTAAACTCGTCTTGTTAGAAAGTTGCCACATAAGTACACCTGGGCCCTGCATTACTGTTACCTAATTTATTCTGCGGTGAACTTTAAACCTAGAGAAGAACAGACTTTGGGTACTGGCTGAAGGCTACAGCCTGAGGCAGGAGAAGAGGGAGGACTAGCTGGTAGAATAGACCATGCTGGTGTTCTTAGACTGCTAAAATGGTCATCCTTTTCTTGCCAGATGTTGCAGACCTGAATAAAAGAGGCACTGAGGCCACTGCCTAACAGTTATTTTTCCACCAGTTTTTCTAACAGTCTTTCTTGCAATGCTTTTTCTGTTTTTCCTTTTTCTGTGCTTTTAAGGAGGAACAGCATCAAAGGGAACTCTCTCTACTTCGCAAAAGACTAGAAGAACTTGAAACAACACAAAGGAAACAACTAGAGGAACTTGGATCTCCTGGGGAATGATTTGCTTGGAGAAAAGGCAGATCAAAAGGGATGAAATCAGTGACTCAATAAAGCTTGAAGTTTTAATGTATGTGGCATTTTAGATACTTCATTACTGTTTGCCAAAACACTTGACTGTGCCTCAAGAAAAGGTACTAGCTACATGCTGTGTTGCATGAATGTCAGGATTTTAAGGTTATAGTAATGATAAGTGAAGCCCTAAGACAGCTTCAGAGATATTTAGAATATTATTGACAGCCCTTTGAGAATGTTAAATAAATGAACAAATAAAAAGGAAATAGGGAATCAAGTTTTTCAATTATTAATTTTACTTTGTTGAATTTTTTTTGGGGGGGGTGGCATTTTGCCTAAATATGACTTTGTTGAATTCCCTCTTCTTTGAGGTGCTTAGCAATCACATGGTCAGAAATGTTTTCTGGTTTACTATATGTAAAAGTTACAAACCTCTACTTCTTGAAAAAAGATGACAGTTTAAAGTCAGCATAAAACTTAAGATATCTATATATATTACACAACACTACCTTTTCTAAAAGCTGTATGCACATAATTTATTAAAAACTTAATAAATATTTTTCTAGTTATATTGTTTTGTGTTTGTTTTAACCATACAGTGTAGAAGATCTCACTAATTTTGGCTTTGTTGAGTTAGAATTAATAGAAAATAACAAAGTACAAATAATGAAGTCCTGTGGCTGTATAATAAAACAAGGGCCATTTATTGTAAAACTTGAACCCAGTGGGGTCCCTTTAGAAATAATGTTGGTATTTAACTTTGTCTCCTGCAGTTTTGGATCTAACCAAATTGTTATAAATGTTTTATTTCTCTGTGTCCCTAAGTATGCCATCATTTGCTTTTTTATGTAACATCTTTTAAAGGCATTCTGCTGGAATATCTTCATGTCAACAAGGCAAAGCTAAAGTCTGCTGGACTAAGTGGAATGGTCATTATCTAGACGTCATCACATTCAAAATTCCAAGATGACAGTGGAGGCCAGGAGTAGATTGCATAGCCTTAACATCATTTAGAAGAAACTAGATTTACTTACTATATAATATAGCTGCTAATTTACAAAGTGCATACAGTGACACTTTGTTCTTGAAAAATAATTTCCGTGGAGCTACTTAGAATGAAAAAAAAATCTATTACTAGAAAACTTGAAGGAAGAAAAAGACAAAAACAGTCCATATTTACATCAAAATGTTTATTTTTGGATATAGACATTTAAAACATTCATCTCCAAGAACTGCTTCAATCAGGTATACAATAAGAAATAGACTTTAAATCCCTAATACAGAAAAAAGTAACAGAATTAGTTTTTAAATGCTGCTGTAGACACTAGTGTTAGAAAAAAGAAAAGTTTATAAATGGTTTTGCACCAAAAAAATATGCAAGGAAACTTGAAAATAGAAATTGTTTGCCATTTGTTTCTCTGGTTGCTGTTTAATATAGACCCAGTGACTGATTGTCTTCAGCACACATCTAATTTGGCCATGTACTGCGTTTGGCTAACGTGATCCAAAATGTGATCCAGATAGTGCTTTTCACTGGAGGATTGACAGACACGCTACACACATTAGTGAATCTTCACACCACCTCAGTGAGGTAGGTTAGAAATATTATACAGAAATTGAGGCACAAAGAGGTAAGTGACTTGCCCAAACTTCCCAGCAGCACAGTCCCTGGAAAAGGAGGTAAATCTCCACGCAGGATTCATGTGCCAGAGAGCCGGACAGGGACACCCTCATGTAGCATTTACTAAATACTGAGATAAAGCTGTAGCTGATCCTTTTGAGATTTCTTAGCATTTCTGTACCCTAAAGAGGGGAAGTCTTTTGGGCAACTCTCCTACCCTTGGCTCTCAACTCTCCTGCTGTTCCCCTATGAATGCCTTCACATCGAGACTGCAGCAGCCTTAGAGCGGGACGAGACCTTTCTCATAGAGAACCTCTGTGGTAGGGTTTTTGAGGTGTGTCCGTTGGAAAGACAGTGGTCAGAAGTGACAGGACTGGGAAGGCGCCTATAGGGCAATAAAATGCTTATTTTCTCTGATCAGTTTGTTGAGGTCTCATCTCTCACTTTTTACCATATAGTGAGAAGCAAAAAGAGCTGCATTCATTTAAGACAAATGTACTTCTAAATCCTGCTATCTCATAGATTGTTGTTGGTAAGTGATTTTAAGGAATGTATGATCAATGTTTTATTTGCTACCTGAAAATTTTCCTTTCCTCAATCTGGGATTTGGAGCACCAAGGGTAAAGGTGCCACAAAGAAAGTTTAAGAGTTGCCAATTAAACTTTTTACTTCTGGTTTAATAGAAGGAAAACACAGTGGTATTAAAATTGGTCATGAGCAGCAAAAATTCAGGAATAAAAAATCAGCAATAAAAAGACTACAATATAACTAGATAGGGAATTCTTTTTTAAAAAAAGGCATGAATAAAACAGGTATTCTTAACTCTTTCTCTTGTGAGGAATACTTTCAAAAAGTACATAGTAAGACTAAGATACCAAGTTGTATACTAATATTTTTCAGGCCATGGGCCTCAAATATATATATATTCATATATAATACTCCAGTGTGAACAGCAATTTCATGAAATGTAAAATGTATTTTTTTAAATCACACACAAGTATTTATAACCACAGGGTTCACCAGAAGTCTAAAGCAAGGAGATAGTAGTATAGAAATGTAGGATTAGGGGACGGAGTTACTCTTCCATTGATAGTTCTGATCAAAGTTCTTAGAAATAAGCTAATGATTTTTTTTTTTTTTTTTACAATAGCCAACACATCTACTATTGAATACATTTAATATGGAAAAATAAAATGAAGAAAAGGTAGGTACTTTAAAGTGTCTGGATAAGATGCTGTCACGTTTTAACGACGCCTACTCCCCCTCCTTGCTTTAGAGCTCTCTAGTGAAATGGAGGTGAGTTTGATGGAGTACAGTCGGTGACCACTGAAAAACACGAGCCCTTTCAACAATGTTGCAACACTGTTAGTTTTTGGTTTAAAAAAACACACACACACACTCACAAATGCTAAGTGTACACACTACCAAATTCTGCGGTCAGCTTTTCCAAGAACTCCTGGGGAAAAGTCTCAATGCTGCAAATCCTCGAGGTTGCCCTCACACCCCCACCTTGTTTCCAAATGACTCATTTCACATTTTGTTTTGATCATTAGCAATGTCCCTTGTCTGCAGAGGTGCAGTGTAGTCACAAGTGCTACATAGCTGTAGTTTTCAAACAAAACCACTTATATCATTGTGCTTAAGTGGAGAGTGTAGTTAAACAATACTGACCCTTGCTTACTGGCCCTGTATTCTCTGTAAACAAGGAGGCTGTTTGCAACAACCACTTCAGCTCTATTTACAGAAGGGTTCCCACAGTACACACACAGGCACACTGGTTGATATGCTTTCTAAAAGCTGTGCATGTGCCTTGGTCTCTTAAAAAAGACAGTGCTCAAAGTGGAACCTATGTGCAAACTGAAATTCACAACACAGAGTAGCTCAAGCAGCCATTTTGCTCCCAAGTCATCTGAAGAACTTTACCAGATTAAGCCAGGCCCCAGAGTGCTTACATCCACTTGCATTTCTTCTTTTCATCAAATAAGACTTTTACATGCAAGAGTTGTTTCTGAGCTTCTTCCAGCCCTCGTTCTCTTTCTAGTTTATTTAGAATCTGTTGACAATTAGAACAGTTATTTTAGATATTGTGGTTTTAGCATTACAATTCTGTTTTTTTGCATTCCTGATGCTGTGAGTGGTAAATCTGTATGAAACAGATGCCAAGATTTTCTTCGATCATTTACATACTCACTTTGCAAGTTGTTTTGCTAAGTCATTATCACAGGATCAACAACACTTCGGCTTAAAATAGAAACTCGCAAGAAACACCGAACTACTTGCTTACAAATATGGGGCCAGAATTCCAAGGCCCTGTTTTATGCATTATGTCACAGCCATTCCAAGCACAGCAAGCATTCCTGGGCAGCCAACATGCAGGCAAGTATTTCTTCTTAAATGCAGCAGGCAGGGGGCATCCTGGTCAGAGATGTCTACCTCCCTTCCCCTCCCCTCACCTCCCCTCCCAATGCTTCCCTTCTAACCCCTGACCCCTGGAAAGAGGGATGCTTATCATGTTTAAGGAACTCATTGCCTCTACCCTACCTTAGTGCTTCACTTGATCTTCAAGTAGCAAATGGAATTGGTGAGCTATTCTCACCATTGACATGGATAGCCTGTCCCAGCATGACTGAGTGGGGGGGAATCAGGGAAGGGGGAATTAACATATATTTGGAAACAGCGCATCTGATGACTGTGTCTGTGTGAATTCCCAAAGAAAAAAATCCAGATTAAGGAGAATTAATCATAAAGGAGAATGGTTTATTGAAATAGTTGCTTAAGTTAGAAATATGTCATACTTTAACTACTGAATACAGAATCTAGGCGATTTAACAAGCTTTGCCTTCATTTTAGCAGATTACAATCAAGCATAAGCAGGCCCCTTTTATTAGGACCACTACTTACTCATCCAAGTTAACTGTGTCAATAGGCCCCATTAAGTCAAATGGCTGGTCCAAAGGTGGGCAGCCACATGCAGGGTCTGGCTTGGTGCCAGGATCCCGCATCTCAGACAGGCTTCCGGGCCTCCCTTTCTGGCCACTTGGGATGCCAGAGCCATCCTGAGACCTACAGGATGCTTTATAACCAAATTCTGGTGGCTGATTCGTATCTGTTTTTTTTTTTTTAATGTTATTTAAAATCTTACCTCATCAAAATATTTTATGATGTATTTGTAGATTTCTGTCAAGGCCACTTCTTCATTAAATTCATTTTCATGTTTCTTAAAGAAAGAAAGCCTTGTTGAGAGATTCTGAAATGGCTTAAGTACCCAAATATAATCTTATTTCTACTTTCTAACAATACCTTAGATTCCTGAGTTAAGAATTCTTCCATCTCTGAAGATGACAAAGGAGGCAAATCCCTGATTGCT